GTGTTCGTTCGTGTGTGTGTGTGTTCGTGGTGATGTTTTGCTTCAACAGAAGAGGTCAAAGATCAGATGTAAGGGACCAAAAGGAGTGACCGTTTATTTACGAGTTTCAACTCCTTTAGGGTTTTTGGTATTTAGTTGTTTTCTTTTGACAGAAATGTTAAAAACCCTGAAGTAGTGAGATAAAGTGAGTGATGAACAAATGGCTCAGGCGCAACACTCTGTGCAATCTGTCTCATTTAAAGGTCCTGAGGGAGATCCTCGGTTCTCCAAGCGAGGCTCTGATTTGCCCTGTCCTGGGAGATTACACTCATGATTGATTGGAAAGACTATTTTGGTCTGAGACAGTGCGTTTAGAACAGGAAATAGATGTACACTGGAGATTGCAATGAGAATCTTTCAGTTTTGGCTTGTTCATACATTGTCTGGGACTCAGTGTTGCAGAGAGGCCACAACAACAATCCTTTGAAACTCTACACTGATCTGTTTTAGGTTTATGACCGGGAGTGTCACGTTAGCAAGAATGCCCCCGAGCAGGACATGCAGAGACAATCTGTTTAGCTATATCTTCTTTCGACCAACTGATGGGCAATTTTCACTAAAGTTGCTGAATATTTTGGTGTTGTGGTGACGAATAAGACACCAGGTAAAAGCAAACACCATTTTTATTATATAAAGTACCTCAATAATTACAGATCCATAGAAAATACATCTCTATGAGGTTCATTACGAGTAGCTCATGAATTGTTCGGCCTATCTGTGCGGTATATATGAGGCTAAAACCAGCCGACGGTTAACTTAGCTTAGCATAAAGACTGGACCAAGGTCTGGCCAGAACATTATTTTAGAACAAAAACTGGAATGATCTCTGTTGCATCCAATTAAAGCAGTCAGTTACAGGCCATGGGGGAACTCCATTGATAACGTTTAAAATCCTTGGTAGCCAAAAGAAGACAATACAACTCATTCATTCGAACATTGTTTAATGCCCATCTTGACTATGTTTTGTTTCCCATAGGCCTACATCCTTTGTGGTCCTAATGACTTCTGCAAAGGAAAATGTGGGTGAGCCCTGTCTATTATAACCTCGGTAAACACTGAGAAAAAATTACTGCTTTGGTTAACTGAAGGAATCCTTGCTTCTTAATCATAATCAGGCCTGCATTTAAACAGAGCTCTGTTGTGACTCTAGCTTCAGGAAGTTTCCGATGGTGGTCGCCTGGCTGATTACAGGGATAACGTCCGGATGTTTTCACTATCACAACAGGGGACAGCAAAGTCATCCCTGGAAGTGTGATTAACTAAAACCAGTAAAAATCATCTTAAAAGTCTTTCCAGTGGCACACAATCACACATACGAGTGTGACTGTGTGCATATGATGTGTAACATATGCTATAAAGAATACTATTGTAGTTGGCCCTGCTGCAGACCCTCATGTGGCACAGCCAAACCTTACACTTCAGGAATGCTTTCCAATGCCCCACCCCCTCTGAATATCTAACGCTTCATCTGTTTTGAGAGGAAAAGCAGAAAATGAGAGAAATATCGCTAGTGCTTGTCAGCACATGTTCCCTTTACCGAGTGGCAAACTGGTGTGTTTCAGCAAGACAAAAGATGGTCCTACCAACCGCTGGCGTGCCGATAACTCTCCTGAGTGAAAATTCTTTGTAGGTTTACCTTCAAGCTGTTGGGAAATGTCTGGCCCTGTAATTACACGGGCTGGAATGCAATAGACGTTTCCTGAGTAACAGTGTTGTTTCTGTCCAACACAGACATTTAAGAATTAACCTGCCACATACGTTTTTGAAATCTGAGTGGAACGTTTGGCAGGTTATTACATATAATATTAACCTGAAATCACATTGACAGATACTGATTAAAAGAATATGTGAGGATGGTGCCAGTCCTCTGCTTCTGACTGCAAATATTTCCTTACTGGCTGATGATTGACTGAACCCTCTTTACTTCCTTTCATGACAGATCTCTGCACAGGTTTGAAGAGTTGCAAGTTTTCATTGGCCAGGCATAGAGAGAGGGTGAGGTTAAATTATACTAGTAGAAAATACATTATGGGATGCCTTGGTAGACTAGCAGTTAAGACACATATAATAATATACTGTGATGGCAACATCCCTGGTTCAGTTCAATGCATCTCCTCTCCTCTTTCCCCCTTATTGTCTGTCACCTCAACTGTTCACTATTAAAGCCAACAATGCCCAAAAAACATCTGCATCTACATCTTGCTCAAATGGACCACCAAACTACTGAATACCAATCACTAATATTCTGTAAAGATGATTATTAATCGCCTTTTCAGAGATCCCCAATGGCTGATTAAACTTTTTTCCTCCAGTTTAAATATCTAACTCTCATAGATGTGCACACTGTGTCTGATAGGTCCCAATGTCAGAGGCACAGATGGTGGAGCCAACAATGATGTAATTCAAATGTCTCATTGTTGTGAGACTATGTACATTTGAGTTCCTGGTTTTTTGTGCATCCACATTTAAAGTGCTTTACACTGAATTTACAGTTTGGATGGATGAGGTGAATCAACTCTACTCACTGGGCATCACAAAAGTACAAGGGACTGAAAGTGGAGCCCAACCTTTTGTATGTGAAAATTAACATTTAGCTTTGCCAATGACAGCTTCACATCTCATGCCTCACATTATTTACCCCATTGTTTCCTATGTTTATAGAGACTGAAATATATTATGGGTATGTTGTTCTTTCGCAATCGGTTATTATCAAATCATATTATCACTAACTTTTTGCCATTCATGGTAATGGATTCCAATAAAAAAGAAGACTTCTTTGTCTTCTTTGCTGGCTTAGTTTGTAAACTGATTTCACAAAACTTGACAAAGTTGCCTGATTCTAAAGCACCCAGTGACACTTCTGCAACACGTTTCCAGCTCTCTTTTCTCTTAAACTAAAAATGTTCCATTTGCATGTGCACACTGACCTGGAACAGTAAAGAGAGATTTATTCTAACTGCAAATCACATTTGGACAAGAGGGCGCAAGAGGGTCAACCACGTCATGTCATCTCTGGGCAACTTTTAATACTTTCAACAGACCTTACAGCCTCTAACAAAACCATATTCATATGCTTGAAAGCTTTTATAGAATCTATGCGACAGAGCTGATACAGCCTGAATGAGCAGCTGTTTCTTTTGTTGGAAATAAATCCTAAAAAAGTTCTGTTTTTTTCTATTACTTTATTAATTTATGCATAAAGTGGTACTTTGTTAACAGAACCGACTGAATCTCAACGCACACTCAGTAAGGACAAAGAAAACTTAATGAATCTGTGACAAGAAATTATTTTGATGACTGGTTAGATTAATAGGGAATACCTGGGTTTCTCACCTTAGGAAGAAGTAGTAGTTGTTGTTTTTGGTGACACTGTAGGAGAAGCAGGGGAAGTAACCCAGGCCGGTGACATTAAACCTGGATCCAGCGGGGACCTCCAGCATGCTGCCCCACGCCTGGTCGCACAGCAGCTCAATCTCGGCGGAGAAGAAAAGGTCTGTGTCGTACTGCCAGGGCAGGTAGTTATACACACTGTAAGACTCCTTGTGCAGTGCCAGCACTTTGGCAAACACTATGATCTGCGCCAGCTCGGCACGGCACGCTTCTGTCTGTGGTCTCCAGTCGTGGGGCAGCTGACATCCCCAGCTCTCACCTGGGCCTGCCACTGCCAGGATAAACGCCAAAATAATCCACATGATCCGGCAGAGAGGACGCGACTGTGGGTCGGAGAGGCGCACCGACGCTCACGATGCTGCAGATGGATGAAATCACCACACACACACACACACACACAAAAAAGAAACTGCAGGGCTCCTACACCATGCACATACTTCCACTAATGCTGACCTAGCTGATGTTCACAGTAAGTGGATTTAAACACCAAAACAGCCCAGAACAGTTGGTATCTTCTCTGCTCTCTGCGGTCTTTGCGCCCTCCTCCAGCCACAATACCTGCGATCAGGGGGTCAGCCCATTCACACCAGCATCTCCTGCAGAAACCTTTCCTCTCATCCTTTAAAAAAAGACCAGGAGGAGCAAATGAAGAGTGCGCGTTCAAAGTCTGCCTGTGGAATTTTAAATGTGAGGTTTCATTTTGTAAATCGTCTTGCAAAATTACAACGAATCCATCAGCTCCAAGGTTGGGAGATTATGTGGCACTTAACGCAACAAAACAACGGGCATTGAAGTCTATACAGAAAAACCATAAAGGACTTAAGTTAGAATGGAAATATAGGGAAGATTAATGGCGCCCTCTAGTGACAATGTGCACGGACAGGTCTTTAGTTGAGTTATAGTGAAGAAATCTGAGACACTCTGGAGTAATTTAGCATTTACTATATCATGGATTTACTCGTAATAACTGTTTAAAAAAATATTTAAAATACAAAATTAAAATGGTTAATTTGGTTGTTCACATGACCGGTGCAGGTAAGTTAGACACATGATTAGTAGACAGTTTAAGTCACATGACAGACCATATTCAGCAGAGGAAACCACGCATCAAATACCCACAACATGTCAGTATGAAACAACAATAGACAAATAGAGAACTACATACACAACATCTTAACATTTAATGTTTCACTAAATCCGGGAAAGAAGGCACACTGTGTTTTAAAACGACTTTAAAAAAACCTTGAGTGGACAGTTACAGAACAGACCGGACACCCAATCAGCCCTGCATGCAGTTTGTTTTGTAGTTGAATTAGTACTGTACTTCCTCCACATGGTGCTCAGGTATGTTGATCAGCTGATTTCTACAGTAAAACCCTTACAGGTTGAGTCTGTGTAAACCTCAGAAGAGAGGCACCTGAGAGTCACGACCCAGGAAATACACATCTGCTCTACAGTTTCATGTGAGAGCCAATCAAGTTGCCTATCGCTACCAGGATTGCTACCAAGAATTAACCAATCAGATGCCGTCCCACTACCAAGAATGGCGAAAACCAATCACGCTTCGTTGCGCATACCAAGATTTGACCAATCACAATCGGGAACGCTACCAGGAATGAGCGGAGGCCCCGCCCATCCAGAGAGCAACGTCAAGTTGTACGAGCGCCGTAACTTTGATCGGATTGATAGCTTTTGTTATATTTTCGGTAAGTTCATTGTTATTTATTCATTCTTTCATTATTTGCCTTCCTAATGTCTGGGCCTTTATAGTTCTTATAAGTTTAATTATTTAAAAGATGTGGTTTACGTACAGTAAAGGCGATATGCTAACAGGCTAATTGTAAAACTCATGCTTTACACTTAATACTGTATAATTATTCTGTACATTTGTAAATTACTTTGCACTTGTGGTTGATGCTCACTGAATTTCGTTGTTTTGTACCTGTACTTGTAATGACAAATTAATACATTTTTGTAAAACAATATATAGCAGACAGACAAATGGCAACAAGGATACAGCAGCTTTATTGTCATATGTTATCAGTCAGACAGTGCATGGACATTGTTAGTTAGCTGTCTCTGTTGTACAATATATAGCAACTAAGAATTAAAAAGAGACTTTATCTGAATCAAATACGTACAGATTGATCAAATATTTGTAAGCAAGATATATATTCAAGTGCACATTCATATACCGACATTGCATATGTATCCAGGCATACTAACGTAGACTCGACCAATACAATATAAATGTGTGTTCAA